TGTTTTGCCAACTTCAGTTGGAGGGTACTATATAACTGTAAAGCCCTTCTGCGTGGCTGCTGATCTTACGTTCTGTGGTGCAGGTGAGAGTCTCTCTAAGAAAAAACAGAACTCTCATGATAGCACAACCAGTGTTACCTGTATATTCTATTTGACTTGATGATGGAACAAATCAAATACATTGTCACTAGATTATGTTTCCCACCCATTTATGTGGTCAGAACAGAACACAGAAACACATTGTGAAGACTGCTTTCCATTTTAACCTTCACAAAAACTCACCAAACAAAACCCAATATATATTTCACTGTTCCACTATCAAGCATAGGGATGAGGCAGTGCAGACAGCTACGTGGCATTCTGGTAACCTTATCATCCCTGCCCCAGCCTTCAGGAGAAGTGAGGAATCATTACAATCTTCCACTGCAATCAGTAAGTCTCAAGTACGAGTCAAGTGACTTTTTTTTCTGTTTTGACCACATTTTCTTGTTTTTTTCCATTAAATCTGGCACAGTGATGGAGATGAGGGAGCCCACTTCCTTCCCTTTTAAATACACAATTCTGTCTCTTCTTCCCTGAACTAAAACATGTTGAGAATTGTTCTAACTCAAAGGGCTATGTGAGATGCATGCTGGGCAAGAGTTTTCTGCATATCTCAGTAGGTTTTTAGTTTATCTTGCAATATTACATATGGAGCTTTAGGACTCAAATCCAACATGCTGGCATTCATTTTCTTCTCTGAATCAAGAGGGAGAATGGCACTTGAATGCACTATGACTGGGAACTAGCAAATTTCTCTGTCTTTCCCTAGTGACATACAGGTAGGTGGATTTGTGCATCGCTTTACGAGGAGGCGTCATCTGTCCTGGCTTATGTTGTATTTTCTGACTTGGTTGGGCACATGTCAGTTTTCTCATCACTGTCCCAAAGCGGTGTATATCATGATGTTATATAACCAAATCTGGTACATCTTGAAAGAAGTAAGCTGTAGTTATTTGGTTTAGAAATGTGCTGTCAAGAGATTAGCACCTGGCATGGCTGATGAGTCACAGTGTAAGACAAGGGGATATGCACTAAGCTCTTGTTTCTGGACCAATGAAGATACCTACTCAGTAGAAACTCCACCAGCCCCCCTGGAAGGGAGAAGTGCTCTGTGAACTTTGCAAGCAGGCCCCAGGAGCGTGAAAGGGAAGAAGAAAAGAATGGGGGTGTTCTAGTAAGGGGAGGTGACAGAAACATGTGAGACAGAGCAGGGAAAAATGTGGAAAAAACCCCTAGCAAGTTGTATTTCCTAAAGAAAGCTGTGGTCTTACACTATGTACAGTTTCTAAAGGCCAAGCCAAGCTAATTTCTTCTGACAGCAAACAGTTCAACCAAAGGAGTAGCTCCACACCTCACCAGGAGTACTTTGGTACATAAATACGCTCCCAATAGCCCCAAAAATGGATTCTATGTGTTTTTTCCAAATGAAAACAAAACTCCTCAACAAACGTGCTTCCTTAGATAGGTATTAGCCAGTCATATTTACTTTGTAAAGGCCATTGGTGGACTCTTGATACAAGCTTAAGGATCCTGTGGCATCACTTACAAAATGCAAGCGCTAGCAAAAAGCGGCACAACTGCGTGGTATTTTCAATGTGCCCGTGGTTACCTAACCACAGTATCGGACACCAAGTGCCAACAGCCCCGCGATGAAGCGGAGCGCGCTACCTAGCTCCTCAGATGCCCTCAGCACTGCAGTCCCGCTGTACGCTGCTGCCCTCCCATGCAGCAGTGTGCTTCATATGGAAAGCACGACGATTTGACAGCCGTTGTAAACACCCTACAGTCACAGTAAAACATAAAGAGCTTGTGTTTATTATGGTGGTGACTGTACCCTCTGTAAAAGTGAACTTATTGACACCCAATGGACTCATTCATTGCTAGATCTGTGCCCTTCATTTAAAGGCAGCAATGCTCTTCAGGTTGGAATTTTCCAAATATAGCTTTGACAACCCAGTTCTGAGAGCCCAGGGGAAGAGACATGAGTACTTTGCTAATTGATGCTGATACACCAGGGAGAATTGGCACTGCCTACAGCAGAGTTTTCCCTTAAAGTGGACTAGGTCAGTTGGCTGGCAATTGCACTAAGTCAAACAGCAATTCTCATAACCAGACCCCCTTTCCCTAAATTATTACACATCCACAACACTATTACTACAGTGGGAAGACTAGGTACTCAAATGTTTGGGGAAGCCAGCACTGAAACAGCATGTGTGAATTTAATTTCAGCTGCCTGTGTATGTGTCTTGCATAGTTTCAAGCCACTTGGAACTAGCTGATAATCTAGTTTGGTCTCCTGCATAATAATCCCAGACATAGATTTCCCTCTGGTAGGGGACTGAACATACTGTGCTCAAGAACTTGTATTTTAATAACAGTACAGCTAGTACTTGGCTAATACATACATTTCAGAAAGGCATCCACACGTCTTCTGCCTTGAGGAGATGCAGAATTTACCGCTTGCTACATTATATCCTCAATTGCATAAACCCAGTCTTAAGTTCTCTATGGGCACACCATCTCATTCAGTACACAGGACAAAATCACTTAGCTAGCAGCCATTCAGTATTTTATTTTTGCCCTTTTTATTTGATGCATAGCCCTAAAAACCTTGTTTACTGCACATTATTCCAGTTCTGTTCTGAAGGCAGAATGATTAATTTCTTTACAGGCTTTTCTATAGCGCTCATCAGATGCTTCTAATTTGTTATACACAATTTCCTAGCTTTTGGAAAAGCATACAAAGGAATGCCTTTATGTGGCATCCTATAACTACTGCCATGATTCGTATCGGCAGGGATAGACCAGACCTTTGCTATCTTAGCTAACAGGTGTAAACCACAGGCTGCCAGCATGGCCAAGCTAAAGGAGATGAGGTATGTGCTTAAGGAAGTGATTTTCACTGGTATCTGCTGACACCAGGATGGGAAGATTCAGAATTTTAAGGAGACTGAAAGCTATGGGGTAGAGGTACTCTTACAGGTTCACGCTCCTTTGTCTCTGTCATAAGACCAATCTCTTTAATTCATCCTTTCCAACATGCCCAGCCCTCAACCATGTGTCTTGGCCTGGTTCCTTAACCCAGTCATTCTTCTGATCTATCCAGTCTTAGCCAGTGTTACCTATCTTATCTTATTTTCTAACTATCTGTATTTCTCTTACTTTGTTATTGAGTTTATCTTCCCTGCTTGCTCATGGACTGAGTCTCTGCCCCCAAACTCCTCATCTCACTGTCTTTTTCACCTCTACTAAACTTTACTTCCATCCCTTGACTAAGAGATGATGGAGCTTACCAGGGTTTGAAAGGAATGAGCATTCACAGACTCATCAGAGGTTTAATACATATCTACTAAGCATGTATAAAACGTGTTTTTTAAAGTTTATAACTTGGATATCCTAGGAAGAATTTTCTTAGGGATGGTAAAAAGCACATTAATACGTTACAAAGACTACCCATTCCTGACAAAACCTGAAGACACTAAAGCACAGTAAAGAAGGTGTCACAGAAGCCTTTCAGGTTTCTTCTTTAGCTTCATTTCCAGAAACAGTTAAGCCATGTTGTGTGACATTTTCTGAAGTAAGCTGGGTCACAGAGCAGGTGTGCATCTCAGAAATTTTTACTCCAAATTACTAGTTTCAGAAAATTGCAAGCAACTGAAATGGGAAGACACAGTACGTGGTTCTGCCCATAAAATAAGACAAAAATGAAAGCTATTAGTATCATGTTGGCATCTAACTTGATGGCTGCTCTGATACCAATGACTTGTCTGAAATCATGGCACTAACTGAGCAAAGAACATCATTCTATCTTGCCAGGTTTTTACCAACTGATTTTGCAAAGGCTGAATCACAGCAACAAATTAATATTATTGCCCCATATAAGGCCGATATGTGCACAGCTGTTTTGTAACTTTCTCCTGACATATGCACCAGCTATTCATTTGCTAGTTTTGCACTGAACATTCGTTATTACCAAATATCTCATCCCTTGCCTGTAGGTTCTACTATTTTTTCTCAATTATAACTTCACTTCACGTTTGTCGTCTTGTGCACTGATACCCCTTCACTTTTGGAGTTGCCTGCAAACCTCATCAAGACCAAATTTATGCCAGGAAATACAAATCTGCTAGCAAAGACACAAGGTGGTCACATGGATATAGGATTCCTGTAAAAATTAAATTAGTCAAGAAAGACTTCTAAAATCCCAGAGAGACCTAGTAAAGGACTACAGTTAACAAGACACATCATTGATGAAAGATGATTAACTGTTTTGATTTTGTAACAGAAGTGGGTTTCGGTCTTCCACAAAGCTTCCTATACTACTACTACTACTACTACTACTACTACTACTATTATTATTATTAACCTCTAGGCCCTGTGTCTGTAAATAAGTTTGTTTGAGGGATGGTGCAACAGAAAAAATACTTGCTGGTTAGCAGTGTTGCCAAAAAAACCACACAAATGTGGAGTCACTGCCCCTACACAAAGTTGGAGCTAAGATGCAGCTTAAGACAATAACAGATTAATTTTATCATAAACTCATATTTTATCTTGATTTGAGTAGACACAAGGCTCCAGCCCAAGGTTTACAAACCCCATATGTATCTATATTCTATAGTTATTTAGTTCAGATCTTTCCAACGTCAGTGTACTATTTATTTAGAATGCCTAACAGTTAGCAGGAAAAGCAGCAGAGACAAAGCAGTGAATTGACTTCCAAAACTATCATACTTTGTCAATTAAGATATTTACTTTTGACACAAGTCCTAATTAGTTAAAAACATTCAATCCAGTCTTAAAATAGAGGTTCAAGCTACCCAATTTATTCTTGGAACAGTCACTTGCTCTCACGATTAGGATGACAATGGCACCCAGAGCAAGCATGAGCCCTCTCCCCTCTTATTACAGTTAATCAGGAACATAAATACTATAATGGAGCTGAGCCCCTGCAAACTCACCAGGCTGTGCATAATTTCCACTCCATCTGGATTCACTGTGAGCGCTTCATCATACAATTGCCTAGCCTCCTCCAAATTGCCTTTCATCTCTGCAAGCCTCCCACGCATGTACAGTACAGCATGAGAAGTGGGGAAAAGACTAGCTGCCTCCTGGATACAAAAGCCTGCTTCTTTGAGATGCTGTTGTTCCATGAAGAGTTCAGCTAAAAAAAAAGAAAAAAGAAAGAACACAAACCAAAAAACACCCTACCATTAGTTGAAATAAGTCAGTGACCTTTCTTCACGTTAATTACATATCATCTCCCTTAAGCATATTAAGACATGAGGCCATGATCCTACACAGTGCTTACTACTATAGTTAGTGCTTACTATCACAAGTGGATCCACTGAATGGATCTTTCTTTAATGCTAAGGGCTCTATACAGATGTCCATGGACATCTGTAGGTGTTGTCCTGACAGAGGACAGTAGTAAGGACTCCTCAGTCAGGAATGTAAACAGTGGTGAACTGAGCTGTAAGGAAGCAGGGCTGGTAGCCACTTGGAGCCATCATATGTATTTCCAAATAATCTGGGAAAAAAAAAGAACAGAATAAGCCATCACTGTCTACTAAGAACTTTAAACATGTCAGAGTAAGAAGATACATCTGACAGAGCTGGACATTAGCTAACTTTTTTAAAAGAGTATTTCCACATTTTAAAAGATTATTAGAAGTGTTTCTCTCTGCTTATTTGTCTAGTTTATGAGATAGCTATCTCTTAACTTTTCAGAGACTGTTAAAATCAAAAGGCTTTTATCACAGAGACTTATTTATATCGTGTATTCACACATTCATGTCCTCATACATACTCTAAAGAAAATCAAAAGAGAGCTCTTGGAAGAGACTGCTCAGTCACTCACTTTCTTCAACTATCAGCAACTACCTTAGTGGTTTTCTTAGGAAAAAAAAATTCAAGAGGCATACTAATGTGTTTGACTGTCAATTTGTTAATCAAGTAATTTCTCATGTTACACATAAATTTCATAACCTATCTCATAGTTAAACTTTAGTTAAATATGTCTCAGTATTTGGACTAGATCATTGTTGGACTAGATGATCATTGTAGGTCCCTTCTGACTGAAATAGTCCATTCTGATTCTAGATTTATTATGCATTAAAGCTTTGCAAAAGGCTTCAGAAGTGATATTCAATTTTCACTGCCACACATAACTGAAAAGGGAAACTGTTTTTAGATGGATGGATGGATGCATGTAGGTATGTATGCACATATGTATATATGCACATAGGTATATAAAATAAATCTCTCTCTTCGAAGAGCAGCCATTGCCCTTTGGTCCATAACCTGTTTGTGTTCTACATGTTATCACTGCAAAAGCTCAAAGTCTCCTTTTTTTTTAAACTGACATGGTAATGTAGTAAGTATTGATAGTTCAAGAGTCAATTTGAAATGGCTAAGTTGGGCTCCAGGTTTAGATAAATTATTCTGAAATTATACACAACCTTAAATGCCCTGACTTTTAAAGGTAGTGAAGATTTTCAGGAAGTCTCTGTGAGGGGGGAAATTAGCCTGAAAATGCCTCTTAAATAGCTTTGAAACTCTGCCAGTTTCAGAATGCTAGGAGACTCAGATGACGGTAGAGACTTGGCATGCTGACATGGAGCTTGCTGGGCAGAAGTAAGCAGGGGACCATCTCAAAGGCAGTCCTGTCTGGCCATGGAAAGGCTCCTTCTTGGCCTATGTGACATGAGACTGGGACCACAAAGAGCACTTCTGTTGGTACACTGAAAATGATCGTGTACTGAAATGACAGCATGGCTGACCACCCTTCCACTTCTGAAGTGGTCCTTCTAGAAGAACGGTGAGACATTGTTGAGAAAATGCTCAAATATTTCTTAGCCATCCCTAGGTTGTGCTACAGATAAACGTCATTCTCAAAGCTGTCAACATGAAAAAAACATTAGTTCCCCTTGGTAAGAGCTATACTCTTTAAGAGTGACTCATATACATTTCTCTCTAGTTAATCATTATAAAATCTCAGCATGCATCCCCTCCCTTGCCTCCGAGAGGCTGAAGCTATCTACAATAACTGAAAGCAAGACCGTGTACCTTGTCAAGCTGAGTATGTGCACAGCCTTATTCAAAAGTTTGTGGGAGGACAGTATTTTACTTGCACTTCCCAAGGAACAGGGCATTTTCCTGCCAAGTGCTGCATAGCAGATGACGCCATGCATGTGGCAATAATGAGGATGGGGATGTGCAAAGTGACGATTTGCAGCCTGAAGACAGACACTTCATTTGCAAAGTTAGCACAAATGTAGCAGCACAAGAGAAGGGGTGAAATGCTGGCACTGATTAAAGTCACCAGTTCTGGATACTGCCGTATTAAAAGCTCTATTAGCAACTAACAGCATAATGTGACTTGTTTCATTTCAGAAAAGAATCAGGAGCAAGGGGGTTTAGATGTGGAATCACGCACAGCCAGTGTTTCAATGCATGCAAAATGGAGAGTTCTTTCTTTCAATGGTGCCTATAAATCTTCTTCAGTAATAACAATTATTTAGAGGAAGTACAGCAACAACACAGAATCTAAATAAGATCTACAAATTGTATTTTATGGTATCATAACGTAGCATGTTAAAGTTCAGTCCATTTCTTTGCAGGCTCAATAGTCAATAAAAAATGATTTAATGGTGCAGGAGGCCTAATTTGCATAAAAAAGTATGAGCGGTGCCTTTGGTTTACAAAAGGAAAGGAATGCACCCACCCAGCTAAAAATAGACATTAAGGGAAATCGTTTAGGCCTGCATTAAAATGTGTTTTCTGTAAACTCATTTTTCACTTCCATTACATACTCACTCTATTTACAGATTAACAAGATATGCTTATGCACCATTGAATAAAAACACAGCTAGAGGCAGAAATCAAACCCAAAAAACAAGGACTCATTAAATTTATCATGGTAATACTACTGCCTCCCCAATAGTACTGAAAGTACTGGAACACCTGCCGTTGCATTACCTGGGTTAGCAGCTTCCTGTCCACTGGATTATTCAGCTTATCTCCTTATATCACTTGATCATGCTGTAAATAAGTATTTAACCAAATCAGGAGCCCTCATGAGGAAGTTCTGTTATAGAGACGTGGGACCCAGTTCCACTCCAAAGCAGAGGGTATCTCCTCAGGCTGACACAGGTGCAGAAGATCCGTAATTCTTATCCTGTGAAAGGTTCAGTGCTTCAGCAAAACCATTTATGAACCTCCAGTTGTGGGACTACATTGTTATTGGCACTGACATTCTTTGCAGCTTTGGATCTAAAGGCCATGTTTGCAAGCTTCCTTGCTCTCTCTCTCACTTAACATCATCTTCATAAAAACTTAACCAAATTTACATTGTCTTTTGAAGTAAGTACCACCACAGGCTCTCTGAATGCTACTGAGCAGAAAGAGATGATCATCCTGCATGTACCACCTGCTCTATTATCCTCTCTGGAGTAATGCTAGAAACTCTTGAGTGTGAATGATAATTAGGAAATATTTCAGCATTTTTACCTATAGGTTTGGGGTGAGACAGCACACTGCATGGATGGGCAAAGACAGGACGAATTGTGCACTGTCTCCTTTCATTCATTAACTGAAGCTTGAGCCTGCACCCACTGAGACCACAAGCAGCTATCCAGCTGACTCCAAGGTCCAGCCTAGCTGATTCATTTCTTTCTCATATCCACCTTATGTTTCCCATCTGTGTTCTCCTGCAGTACTGTCCAGCCTGCTCTGCTGTTCTTCCAAACAACTGTCATCTCCTCTTGCGGCTATGGCCTACTTTGTCTTGACCTGCAACTAGAGTTCCACTGATACACGAGTCTTAATGCTGGGCGCAGTCCCCGAGAGCAGCACGCGTCTCCACTCAGATTATCATTAGCTCCTAATAGAAGCTCCTAGTTCTTCCAGCTGTTTCTGCTAGCATTTAAGCTCATCTACAGTGAAGATCCTTAATCAAGTGAGAATTGCCAGGAGCATATCATCTACTTGCTCTCCAAAGACCAGTAGCAAACGCACAGACAGAGTGCACTTCCCAGAACACTGACAAAGCCAGGTCTCCTACAGTCAGGCTCCTTTTTTTGTCTCCAAGATAAATTCTTTGACAAAGCTCTGCTAGGGAGTCCATCAGAGGAGTAACAACAGTGTATTCTAGTCACGTCTGCATCACAGTGCTACTCTGAGGAAGAGAGTTGCTTGCCATCACCTTGAACACTGACTCTATTCTCTCTTCCTTAAGTATTTCAAAGCAGTGTCAAAAGTGATTGTGCTTGTCACCACAGAAACAGCAATAACTGTAATTCCAGCCAAAAAAACCAAATGGATTTGAAATGTATTCCTGCAGTATGAACAACCCAAGAGTTAAAATTTCATTCCTTGCAAATCATGTTTGGTGTTATCCAAGACGCAGAACTTAACTCCCACAAGTAGACTGCTCCACATCACTCGCTTGTGTGTGCCTGCCGGATCTAAAGCACTTGTCTACTCTCATGCACCCCAAAAACGTTATTGCATAGTGACACAGCCAGCGCAATGCAGCCAGATGCCCAGCAGGCTAGTACTATGGGGAGCAGCCCTTCACACTTTAAGAAGGTGAGAACACCTGTGAGGATGTGTAGGGAGATAACTTCTGTTCCACATCATCTGCCTTCAGGAGCTATTAATGCTTGTTTCTGCAGCTGCCCTTAGCCAGCTGGAAAGACTCACTCCTCTGAGACAGCTCTGCCTTCGGCAGTGAATACAGAGCTATTACCGTGACAAAGGGTTCCCCCGCTGCCTTTCCTTTCTGGTAGGTGACGTTTAGTCATTGTTCTATATTATGACACCACCATGCATGCAATAGCTTAACAATTTGCAGGCAGATTAGATGCAAGATTCCTCAAGCCCTATCCTGACTGCAGTAATCTCATTTGACGCAAACCTTTAATACAGAAATGAAGAACAGAAACTGCCACGTGTTCCCATCCACCTGAGCTCTGCCACTTGCTCTTTGGAATGAGGCAACAGATTTACACTCTCAAAGGCTGTCTTCGCGTGCAAACTGGTAGTTAACTGGAGTCCACGGACCCGCTTTGGGTCTCACAGGGACTGAAATGGCCACTAAGCTTCTTTATTTACAAATGTAGCATTAGAGTGAAAGGTTCTGGAATCGACACAGAACTACCA